CAGACCTTTTGTTGCTATTCAAAACCAGATGATGTAACAGTCGTTTCTCCTGCTCTCTGGTGACTGATGACGCTCACAGTTTGTGCTTTAGTAGGAGAAAATAATTAATATCTGATAATGACCCGATATGGTAAACTTTTGTTGCACTTACTGTAGCATATTCAGTACATTCAATCATTTATGATCATAACAATGTAATCAAACCTCAAGACAGAGTTGCATAATCAAGACTTGTTTAGGAAGACAATATTTTCTCAGCAGTGTGGCCTCACCCCCATGGTCCAAGTTTACACACAGGAGTATGAAAGCACAGGGCTAAATCTGAGCTGCTGACTCAAAAAGGATAGTATAGTGTAATCTCTGGACTTTTTGATAGTAGGAGACATTAAAGTAATGAATTAAAGAGATGAAATGATGATAAAAAATGAAAAATTTATACATGGGCTTGCAGTTTCATTATGCTTCTGTAACACATTCTCGCCTGCACAGCCCCAAACCTTCACAATCATTTCATTTCTGCTGGCTGGCGTGTGTCTCTCAAAATGTGCAACATTACAGTCCTATCTTTGAAATTAATTAATTTGTTTGACAAATTCATTCATCACAGACTCCTAGATATTTTTGCTGTCCTCCTAAGATTTCTGCAGAATAAGGCTTAATTCAGGTTTCTCTTCTGCACCACAGTCTTCACATGAACTATTTACACCTTGTCTTCAGAGGCATAGATCAGGCCTTTGAAAATTGTGTGAACCTTTTTAAAAGGTGCATCACACAGCTGACACCTGGAGCAACAGGTAAACTACAGTTCCAGGCTGATGCTCCTGTTTGATAAATAACACACATGACTCCAGGCGCCGAATATATCAGAAAGAAGCCCGGAAGGCTTTCTAAATCTGACCAAAACAGAGGAGGAACTCAGTAAGTTTATGTGTAAGATGATGAACAGGAGTGAATGGAGAAGAGACAGGAGAAGAAAGAAGGTGAAGAAGAGAAAAGTCAGTCAGTCAGACAAGTTCAGCTTTTGAGTCAGTGTTTGTAGGTTTGCTATAAAAGCCTGCGGGCAGTTTACTCAGCTAGAGACTGCTGCTGAGCTCGACAGCAGGATTAGATAAGTACAGACAAACGCAGAGCGAGAGTAGGAGAGGTGTTTACTTCAGCCAGCCTTTCTGTCACAGTCTGCATGAAAGGTTTGCAGTTTGAAAGAAAAATTACTTTACTTTCTTCGGGTTGTTCTCCTCCTGTCACATCTATCGGAAGGAGACTTTTTTACGTTCAGTCTCTTCTCGGCGGTGCTGAACTGAAATAGGTTGTTTTGTATGGCATTGAAGCTGCCCAAACAGCATTGATTATCTATAAATGTGATCAGTTTTATGCTAAAGATCCTGAGGATTCACTATTCTGCCAAGATTTTATCACAGCACGAAGGCCGGTGATGGCAACTGTATGACATGAGTGGCCAGAGTTTGCAGGCTTCCATCCAGACCAATGCATTTCACTTTGCTGTGCTGTGTAGGGATGTTGATGAAGTGACCAAAGATTTTGATGTAGCTGCAGTTTAATTCTCTTCCTGAATAAGCCTTTTGTCTAATTCTCAGTGAATTGTAGAATAATTGAATCTGCTCTCCAGAGCTGACTCCATCCCTCAGGACTAGTTGGCTGCTGGTCCTATTTCTCTTTCTGCTACGTACCATCAAACCGCAGATCCACTCTTTCTAAGAAAACAAATGTAAAATGTAGTGATGCAGCGTTTGGTTGTATTGGCATGCTACTTAGTGGCAGCAATAGCTTGCTTCAAGAAAATGTTACATGGTTTTAGAAAATAGCTATAATTTCTGACTGCTACCGGGAAAGTAGTATCATCATTATATGTAGTGTCACTATTCCCCAAGACTAAACAGCACAAGTAGCCTTCAAATTGACCATGCAGTTGACTCAACACATCTCTGAAACAGTTTCAACACGAACATTAGAACCTTCAAGAAGGGAGGATTTACTGCAGAGCTGTTGGATTTGATTGCATCAGTTTTATCTAAAAGTACACAACAAAGTTGATCCAAAGTTCTTTACAGCACATAGATAAAGAACGAAAGAGCGTGCGTACAACATTGGCCTTCAGCTACAGTGAAATGTGAGGCACAGTTAACAGAGTTAGTGAGTCAAAGTGTGTTGAAAACATCAAAAGAGTGAGGAAAAACAAATTGATGGAGGAAGAGAATTTAACAGTTTTGCGTCTGCTGAGAAAGCTCTATCACCAGAACATTTAGTTCTTGATCTGTGGAAAGACAGAAGGCCTTGGTGGGAGTATCTGAGGTGAGGTGTTGAACGGGGGTGGGAGTTCACAGATAGAGGCAGAGCCAAGACCATTTAGCCCTGTGTACACAAAGACCAAGGTTCTAAACTTCAGTCTACTGCTAACAGGGAGCCAGCGTGGGGAGGCAAGAATCTCAGTAAGATGGTGTCTGTTTTTTGATCTTGTTAAAAGTCTTGCTGCAGCATTCTGAATTAATTGGAAGCTGGATAAAAAGGAGTCCGAATGATAGCAAAATATAAAACGTTGCATTAATGCGGCGAGTGAATATGAACTTTCTCCAGACTTTATTCCTCAAATTTTCAAACATTACAAAGCTGATTGAGGCCAAATTTAATTTCTATTCTATTAATCTAATATATTGGTTCATTAAACTCGTAGTAGCAGTGATGTAGGATAACTAATAATTCATTGAGAGGTTTGTTGTTCCCCCGATCAGACCGACACAGATACATGGTTAAAACGTGTATCAGCATCTGTCTGAATGGCTCAATACACACATCATTTCACTGCTCATCATCGCCTTCTTCACAATGCAGAATCATTTCTTCAAAGATCATGGCTATGTGGTCACACAGACATAATATGTTTGCAGGGAGATAAACCGGAGGACATGAGAAGTTGTTAACCTTGGATTAATATGGGAGAGTCGGTGAATCAGCTTAAAATGAATAACTAATGGGGTCTGGCTGGGATCAGGCTCGTGGTGCTGCACATTTAACTGGTCTGAATGTGAATTCATCTGGTAACTAACGATCAGCTGGTGTGGGCAGAGATGAAAAAGAAATTGTTGCATTAATATAGTGTAGTGCTTTTATCAGAGAGCTTTGGTAGAGCTTTTTAGTACAATTTCCCTCTCATTCACCCATTCACACACACTCGCAGACTGATGGCAGCGAGCTAGTCCAGACAAGTCCACAACTTGAGGACAGCAGGAGCTCGGGATCAAACCGCCAACCCTGTGATTAGATTTGTTTATCCTACTTCAGAGAAAACACTTGGCATGACAAAATACAGCTTGGTTCCCATTTTAGGCCAACGTTAGCAGATAGCAGGCTAGCCACCAGCTTTATCTTCCACATTCATGGACAATGCTGTGAGTTCAGCATTTCCTGTGAGTTCCTGTGTGATCCCCTGCTTATCTGAATATTGTGTGGGGTTGGTGGTAACATTTAGAGATCCCTTTACAGAATGGGATGCATTTATTGGCATTGGCTACAAAAAAATGGTGACAGTGACCAAAACATGTCTTCAGGATTAAAGGGAGAGTAAGTGATTTTGCAGAAGCATTATTGACTGCCACTCAAATACACCCCTCCCTTCAGGGCTCCATTAGAAGCTCCGCCCCCCAAATTTAATTCAGTGAGTTTTCTCCAGCGTTGAAATGCCTTTGACCTTGCCTGGTTATACAACTTTCTTCTCTGTTTATAGTCAGTCTTCAGATCTTTTCCTCTTTAGCTGTTTCTCAGTCATCTCTCCTTCTTCACAGTACCTGGAGTCCAGCACATTCGAATGTGCCGGTGTATAGAACTCTCTCTTCCACTGCTCCTATGCACCAGCACTAACTGTTGCTGATTGGCTGGAACAATGTTGTGTGGCAAGGCCCACACCACTTTCTTTTGTTTACCATTTACAGAGCCAGGGCTGTGTAGGGAAACCAGATTTTTTTTTCTCAGAACACACACAAAACGGAGAGCTAGTGGACGGTGAGGAAATATTCACTGACTTGAACAAAAAGTTTCTTGTATTACCATCACTTACTCTCCCTTTAAAGAGAAAAATCTGAAGCATCAGCTGTTCAGTAAAAGAATTAACAGGTCCAGTCCACAGAGTTGTTGTTTTTTCTTCATTTTCTAAAGAACTTCTCTAAAGACCAAAGTCGCTGATGAAAGATTTAGCCTAAAAACGTCTTCACCTGGGTCCGTCACTTTGGGTCTACTTTGAGCTTGTTGTCAAGATACAAAGCATGGATGACATTAAGTTATTCACACCATGCAGCCCTGACTGTCATTCATCAGTGCCTGGGGTTATTGGAGTGTTACATTCTGTATTTATTTTGCATTAGGCCGTAATGTATTCCCTGAGATTGAGATGCTGGATTTGCACACACTTCAGATTTATGGAATATGTCTTTGGGTTTACTATTTCTGTCACTTTTATTATGCTTTCAGAAATTCCTTTTGTTTCAGTGCCCCATAACAGCATCACCAACAATCAAAAATCAAGTACAACAAAATTCAAGTGACACAGCTATCATGGCTATGATTTGTTTAAGAGTTATACTGGAAGCAATGTCTCTCCTATCTTTGAGCATGGGTAGTGGGTGGGGACAGTACCTTTCATCTTTATCCTGATGGTAACAACTCATATTCGCCATAAAGAGGATGTGATACATCTCTGAGGATTGACAGCCCTTTCACTAAGTAGTGTCATAACCTACTGTAATTTTATCTACCTGCAATCTCATACTATCCTAACCAAAGAAGCCAAAACTTCTGCTTCATCCATCCATTTCTTCTTCTTGTCTGCCCTCTGAGCTATTCTGTCAGCGTGCTGGTCCTTCTGTTCTATAAATAGATAGATCACCATTAACAAAAAAAGTTCCATCCTCAGGTCAGCTGAGCTTCTGTTATACTGTCAGCCAGCTATCTCCTGCTCTGCAATCTAACTGTTGTGTCTGTTTGTCATTCAGGAGGAGGCAGCCAAGCCGCAGATTCTTTCCTCGCAGAGATTATCTCCAAAGTGGTGTTTCCTTGACTGTAAGTATATCAACTTATAGGACATGAAAAAGTGAGCAGTACAAAAGAAATTTTCTTTTTTCCCAGTGTGATCTGAACTACTTATGCTCTCATTGCAAAGTAACTTGCTTATATAAAGTCATATAGCCGTAACAAGACTCATTTTGATTTAGCTTCTTTATTTAGTCTGTCTTTTCCTGTGAAATTGGCTTTAATAAAGCTCCTCACAAACCATCTATATATTATGTTTTAAATTATGTTCCAGGTATTTCATACAGTAAATGTATATGATATGTATTTTTAGTATTTCATTTGAGACAACCTACTAAAAAGCTCTACTGTATATATCTGTATAGAAGAAGTGGAATATTTTGCTGTCAGCTTAAATTAAGTCCTAACGTATTCCTATAAATAGTAATATCACAACAAATCTTTATCAAGGACAAATGCACTCAGCTTGTCTTAGGCAACTTACAACCATCCATTTCTTTTTAAACACTTGGACTTGAAATCCACGCTGACTCTAATATAGCATTTTTAAATGTCATTCATCCGTTATGTGAAAGTTCACCAAGCAAGTTCTATTAAAACTGGCTCCATGACTTTTATACAACTCTGAACACCCATGAGGATAATTATGACTGCATTGAAATGAATCCACAGAATTACAATGTAACACAAATCACAATGTACACTATATAATTACTCTGTAAACACTTCCTCCTAGTCCTAGTGATACTTAGCCCTGCAGAGTACACATGCTGGGTCCCTGCAAGCATCAGTGACACCTGTGACGCAATATTTAGATTGTCTCAAAAATGAGCCATTCATGAGTTTCACAGCAGAGAAACCTCCCTAAATATTTTTTTTAGAACATTTTAAAAGATTTGACCCACCATTTATAAAATCATTTGCACATTAATTGAAGTGGTAATAAAGTGTCTAGAGCAACTGTGAAGCATAAAGACTACCATGCAAAAAGGCTTCTGCGCTGGTACTCCCTCAAAATAACACAAAGAATAGTTCCATCAGATCCTGTTTTTTTTTCATTGGGGGAAATGTCATGAATATTAATCTCATATAACGGCAGAAAGCCAAAAATATCACAGGGAAAAACCAAGCATCTTACACAATGTTATACAGGCATTCACACACACACAACACATACACACCTCTGCTTCTGTTGAGTCCTGGTGGAATTTAGCAGAGAACTGGAGTCAAACAAATATAGCTAACTGAAAGAGAGGGGGAAGTGTTTGAAGAGGTGTAGTAAGCAGGTGATCAGTCATACTGTAATCCTAAAGTAATCCTAAATATACATGTTTTATTTTAAAGTGACACCCAAACACCCACGGTATGTGACCCTATAATTCAACATAGGGGTGGTGATGGTGCAGTGGATTGGTGTGAGAGACCCGGGTTCAATCCTCCACTGTGACACATCTACCAATGTGTCCCTGAGCAAGACACTTAACCCCTAGTTGCTCCAGAGGCGTGCGACCTCTGACATATATAGCAATTGTAAGTCGCTTTGGGTAAAAGCGTCAGCTAAACAAATAAATGTAAATAAATCTGGTAATAATAAAAAGATAATTTCTCTTCCTGAGCTAGTTTTTAGCGTCTGAGGATCTGTCCTGATCTAACATAGATGTTTCTACATAAAACAGCTGCACAATACATACTTAGTTGAAAGCAAGATGGGGATTATCAGTTTTTTTTTTCCTGCAGGTTGGGTATTCTCATTACATACTTTCCAGATTCCAGATTGAGTAATAAAACAGAGAAAATGTTTATTTTTAGAACGCCGTCTCGGCTACGAGCGCACTGGTTGTATAGAAATACCATGTGCTCACAGTGAGCTACCTGCTTACTGTCTTTCTGAAAGGCGTCCATCAGTGAAGGTTGTCTTGAAATCGGGATCTTCTATCACCTTTTTGTACTAGCTCCTAATCACCTGTGATATGTCTAAACAAAGATTACCTCTGGAGAAGACAGTCATGCTTTATATCACACTGGGTGATATTTTGATTATAATGCAAGACTTGTAATTAAATTTTGATCATCCCCTCACTTATTGAAGAAGCTGTAGTTGCTGTGTAACTGTCAAATGAATGAAAAATAATTTGAAGGAAAATCAATATTTTAAATAAGCAGGTATGGACATTTTGATATTGATCCACCATAATAAATGTTAATTAAAGAGCAAAAGTAGTTGTTGAATTGTTTGTGTTTGGAAGCATCTTTCCGTGCTGGAAAGGTTTTGATTTCTAGAACTTCACAAAATGTGCACCCTTCACTCGCAGCATACTGAGGCCTTAAGGTTTTAATCTCTGTCTCTGTATTTCTATTGTATTTTGGTTTTGTATTTATTTGGCAGGGACATTGCTTAAGCAACTTTAGAACTACCGTAAAACTTTAATTAAAAGCCTAGTCCCAATTTGACAATTAAAATAAACAATTTGATTGTAGCCTATTTCCCATCTGAGCATGGGTATTGTGGGAAAGGAATTAAAGGCCTGTCCTAAAGAGATGCCTGTCATAAATAGGTGATTATTATCAAATAAATTGAAGTTTTCCGGTATTTATCCAAGATGACTCATTTTCATCTTGAGCAAATGCAGAACACTGCTAGAAAACACACATTTAAACCACACTGATCACCAATTCAGTCCTCACAAATTGTTTGTTCTCTGCTTTATTCTGGTGTAAACACCATTAAGGTATTTTATTGTGTAACAGACAGAGAACTGACTGAATGTGCTTTTTCACAGTGTGATGATACTGCATTGTCTTGTTAGACTGCAGGTTGTCACAAATACTTGATTCTCAGTATAATTGCCGCAGCCGTGGGAGCCCACCTGTGCACAATTTAACAAATTTTTTTGAACTTTTGGTGACTGATAAACAATCGGCAGAATTTAAAGACTAGGTTTTCTTTCACCACAGATAATATTTGATTGGTTTAACACTGTGTTTCTGTTTGTCTCCTCAGCCACAACAGCAGATCGTTTCTACAGGATAGACAGAGCACAGGTATGTCTATCTCGCCTGACTCGACTTCACTGGGTATAATTTGTCAAACACAGCGGTTCCCAAACTTTTTAGGCAACACATTCCCTATATGGCTATATATATATTTGTTGGAATCGCTGGGCTAACGCATAATGAATGTAATTATAATTATACATTTAATAATGCGAAGGGGCCTGACATGAATACTTTACAAAAACAAAACAGAAAAATACGATTTTCGACCTTGGGTTTTAGTGTAAAGAAGAGTCCAAGTTTTTCCTGTGGTGGGGTCTGATTCTCTCCTGGTGACTTGGCTCGTCTCGACTCATGTAAACGCAGCAGCAGTGGGAGCAGATGTCCAGTGTTTCATCAGGGTGAACAGAATTTGGTTTTTATGCCAGCTTAATTATTCCCACTGTGGGGGTAGTGAAGGCGTACTTGGCATCGCTCTGACAAGTGGTTCACACACCATAGGTACATATGCTTCTACTACTGCAACTGTCTACTGTGCTAATATATTCAGCTCCTTCCTAGTTCAGAGTCAGAGTTCAGAGATTCACTGTTTCTACAGTTCGTCTCAGAGCCTATGGTTACACATTCATGTTTTATTGCAATCACTACAAATCACGTTTGCCTTACAGCTCTGAGAGCCACTTTCAAAGCATGTTACAGTTTTAGGTTTTCTCTGTCAAGCAATTGTCTGCAGTGTTGCAAATCAATGAGCCGCTTCAGTCAGTGTGACTGGTCAGCCATTTAATTTGCTTTATTTTCCCAAAAAATGTTCATGAAATTACAATATTACTATATAAAATGACAAATACCGTGAAACAGTGTATCAAAGTATTTTGCTGTTAATGTAGCAATTAAACAAAATAAAGATAAATATGTAAGACAAACATATACAGTATGTAGGAGCCACAAATGTCAATTTTTACATATTCATGTCGACAGTTGGCCTCAATAATTTAATTACAGCTCTGCTACAGTTTAGCAAAGGATTTCATTTAGAGTAATACGCAATAACAAACTTGAAATCAATAGTGTTTTAGGGATTTATGTTGAGTACTAACTGTTTGATGAAACTCTTTAATCAGGAACATCTCAACTACGTATCAGAAATCTCCCAGGAAGAGATCTTCATCCTGGACCCTGAACTGGTTATTATGACGACAGTAGGCACCTCCTCCTCAGACATGCCTGACCTGGTTAACCCTGCATCCAGCCTGGAAGACAGCAGGTAGGTCAATCACCACCACACACACAACCCTAACCTCACTAACCAGAGCCATTATTTTAGGACTGTTGCAGCAAAAGCTGTAGAAGGGGACAAAACATGTACCATCATCTAACTCACTGTCTAGCTGTTATCAAGGACCGCTTTGACTTTACAGAGAAAATTGGTCCATCTCTTCTCTACAGAGGTAGATAACCTAATGTATACACTGATAGAAAATTTCATATCTCTACAGTGCTTCTGATATACCTGCAGGAAAGTAGGCCCAGTGCTGAAATATTGAAACTTATCGAAACCAGCCTCCAAAAAATATTGAACTAAATAATAAACACCTCCTACAGATAAAAGGTAGCGGCATTTGAAAACATATTATGCTAACATTTGCAAATGTAACTAGCATAAGGCAGAAAAGGAAGAGACAGTAAGAAAAATGGCCACCCAACTACTCCAAAAATAGCTTGATGACATTTGGGAAAATGGGGAACATCACAGAAGAGCGTTTACTGCAGCGGGGGTTCATTCAGCCAAAGCCTCTGGCAAGAAAAAGAGCACGGCAGAGCAGCATGCAGTACACTTACCATTTGCCTACCTACCAAGTCCAAAGTCCAGCCCCAGTACCACCTCACTTTCATTCATGTATTGCATTGTGGGACAACAGCCTCTCTCAATATATATATATATAATTAAAATCAAGATTATGCTTGAATGCAATCATAAATTAAAAATGATTTGCATGCCAAGAATAAAGCTAAATTTAATGCGTTAAAAGCAAGTGTTTGCCAATTTACATTTTTTTTTGCGAAGAGGACTAACTGATATCAAATTTGATAATTCTGCAGATTTATTTGAGTACACTGCTTCTTATCAAAACAGGAATAGGAACATGAAGTTCAGAAGAATAACCTGCTTGTGGGCGTTGGGAGTGGGGGCCACTGTACGAGGAAGTTGGTCCATGCCCATTAGGAGAGAGAAGAGGCATACTGGGGGTAGTAAAAGTGGGGCAAGGACCCTGTCTCTCCTGGACATCTTGTCTCCTGTCTGCACTGATGCCAGGCAGATTTGCTCGGTGTTGATTTGAAGGGTGGTGATTGGACATGCGGCAGCTCAGCTTAGCGGCATCCATTAACATCACATCCATTCCCTTTATCTCTGATCTCAGCTTGTTAGAGATGCCCCGAAGAAGGGAGGTGGGGCGAGACTGATGAGGCAAACTTTTGGTGACCTTGCTTTATCAGTCTCATCCGCCCAGCAGGAGAGAAATGTTCTTTATTTCTGTCGTCTTTGTTATCAGCAGGGTTGGTGTTACAGAATGTGCTTGGCTAGGGTGGAGGCAGACCATGTGATTGGGTGAATGAAATGCAATTTATATTAAATTTTATATATAAATAGCACCATATCTAACAGAAGTTATCTCAGAGCACTTTTCATACAGAGCAGGCCGTTCCCTTCATAATATTATTACAGAGACCCAACATTTCCCACTGATTGGGGGTTTATATAACTTTAGCACAGATCAGTGGTTTACTACTTCAGCCAATAACCCACTCTATGCACAGTTAAATCATACAACAATCAGCAAGCAAGTGATGCAGGTGTGTGTGTGTGAGAGAGTAGAGGGGGGGACAAGGAAGAAGATGGAGGATGTGACCATGTTAGGTGGCTTGTCACGCAATGATCCAAAATGGCGGGCAGGCCCACGAGGCTTAAACCAAGGGATAGGAAAAGAGGAAGAAAATGGCACACAAAGCAAGGTTCAGCAATCGGGTTACTGGACTTTGGTCTGATAAAACACAGTTATTGGCTCCAGAGGCAGTATCAGAAAAAACACAAGTAAAGGCCCAGCAGCGTGGGAGCGACAACAATGAAACATGCCAAGCACAGGAGCAAAGAAGACGCGGCGGCAAGTTATTTCCCACGGCAAAGCAAAAATCACGACCATGAAGCTCAGGTTACAATAACACACAGTTATAAAGCTATCTCTGCCCAGACACGAGCCTCTTATTTGAGATTTCGTAAAGGAAACGCTGGAATCGTATCTTCTTTCTGCAGGTATGAGATTGTTAGGTGTGTAACAATCTTCTTTGGGGTCCAAAAATGTGTTCAGCAAAAGCAGGAGTAAAAGAGAGAAAAAGGAAACGAAAGAAACAGCCTGTCCAGCGAGTTAAGACTCTCACCTAGGGAAATTAAAGTCCAGCATTGACTAAAGTTACTACACCTCTGCGTTGGGGGTACCTGCGGTTCTGTGGGGCTCCTCTAGTAGGATTTCGATTCAACTTACTTCTCACATTCAGGTGCAAGTTAACGGACCAGAAGGGGTTTTTGCGCTCTTTTGCGAGAGGAGAGGGATGAGAAAGCACACAACTACGGGAGAGGGAAGATGTTGAGTTAGTAATATGTAACAATAGCATAAGAATGTTTACAGATGAGAGGGAGCAGAGGAGAGAGGAGCTCAGTGTAAAGGTGTCGCACAAAATTCTGGCCGTGTACATGTACACACTACGTCTCTAGATTAATGTCTCTCATGAATCTTTTGAAACATTTAACAATGTAATAGTAATAATAGTTGGAGGAGAGTTAAAAATGTTTTGTAGTGAAAAAGTAGCTGCCTGCTCTCATTGGCTGGATGTGGATGTCGAGTCGGCCCATGGCTCCAGATTTTTAGCATGCTAGATATCTGGTTGGCATTGGTGAGCCTCTTTGATGCGTCGTTGAGTACTTCACACGTAACGATTGGTAAGCACCGATCAATTCTCGATTTATCCAGCTCCAGCTCACTGACTTGCAAATCGGGCTTATGTCTTTCATTTTTGAAAGAAGATATTTTTGATCAATCTTGTTTTTATAAAGAAAATAATTATAGCTGACCAGTTTGCACCACTAACACAGGTAAGCTGATATATATATATATTTTAAGGGAACTTGTCTTGTTTCAATAGGGCAAAAATTAAACTGCAGCCTACCGGTAGGCCAATTTCTAACATAATTTAACCATCTAAATGTGAAAAATAGAACCATAGGTTAGATTTTAATTAGAGTCTGCCTCATTGATCACTATGATCTTAAAATTGGAATTATTCTCCTTAGTTCTTGGTTTTCTTGGCCTACTTGTAACCCTCTGAAAATGATGGATCATCTGGCGTGAACATTATCTTTTGAAGGCCGCTGCGGGCTCAGTGGTGTAAATCTTGATATTGCAATGACTCTGTTCCAGACATGTCATGCTAGCTTACAGGCAAAGGAGCTAAACATTGAGACACTGGTCTCATGCATTAGTTAGCATTAGTGTTGTTGACTGTGTATTGTTGGGGTTGCTTTGACATATAGTATGTTGTTCAAGTTAATAATAATCTGAAATTGTTGTAATTTTTGGCCATTCAAACCAGAATTTAATGTGTTGTTATTGTATTGACAGAACGTTTCTCAGCACCCCCAACTGTGACTGACTTCCAGCGTCCCTCCCTGCGCGTGTTAAGCAGTGTACGTGGGTTGTGAACCCGCCTGTGCATGTGTAACAACTAGGTCAATAATAATCTTTTTTAAAGAGCAGGAAAATACTTTGGCATTGACTTTACACCAAGTTTTGTTGGTCAATGCTTTCTGCTGCCTCAAGATAGCAACGCGTCTCATTTTAAGACCAACACTTCCAATGGGGGCGCATAGATGGGTGCAAGTACATTTGTTTCTTACACAACGTGAGCGCTCAGTCGGAAACTAGCAATGACAATTGCGCTGCGCTCTGCTTAATAAAAGGTGGAAGCTAGGGCCCTGAGTCTCGCCTGTCAGGTGGCGGCTGTGTTATGTAATGGAGGAATGTTTTACTTAACACATAAAATAGAGATGCAGAAGCAAAACATTGTCTTTCAGTAAAGAAAGCGTTTGTCAATATGCATTATAACATACTTATATGGCTGGTTCTGTGGGAAGAGCTCAGCTCATTCTGATTGGTTGAGCAAGCACATGTTCATTTCGCTGCTTCACAGTTTGAGTTGTCAAGGCTATAGAGCCTGTTAGAGGGCAAAGCCTGCCTGAAGTAGAACTGCATAATTCTGAAGCGCGTGCGTGTACATGTGTTTGGGTGTGTGCATTAGTGCGTGTGTGTGGGTGTATAAATACATGCATAATATTTTCTATCTGTATTTTTCCACAGGTTCTTTCGCTTCTGAGAAACAGCCAAGTGTTACTATAATATCAGCAATGGCTGTGTGTGTGTGTGTTCTCGGTATGTGTGTCTGTGGATAACAGTTTTTTTCTGCTTGCCTTGCCTCCATTTGAAATCCTTTTAACCATATTTACACACACACACTCACCCAGATTAAATTCTCACCTACAGGAACCTGTTAGAGCAGCTGTCTGTTGATGCTGTTTAAACGCTCGCTCTCTTCAGGCAGACTGAAGAGAAAACAGATGCAGTGAGAGAGGAGAGGATGAAGAGTTTCTCATTTTTCTCTGTTCACTGATTTTTAGGATACGTCTGGTGTTATTCTATTATTATTATTATTATTATTCTATTATTCTTATTCTACTCTCTTTTTTCTTATTGTCAGTAAATCCCATCAAAACACCCAAACCAACAATATGCGACACACACAGCTGTGCCGTTGTGCTTGATCCATGTAGTTGTAGTTGGCAAAGGAGTGCCAATTAACATTCAAATGGGCTTGTTCTGAAACAATATTTTACCTTTCGCTCTGTTGCACTTTATTTTAAATAGATTGTTCTAAAACTGTTGTGTAGGCCTACCTAATATAACGAGAGAGATGGCCCCTGTGGACTGAAGCGGTAGTGTTTCCACCGCCTCAAGTCGTAAAGATCTTGATCTGGAGAGCATTTGTTTTGGAAGCAAGTAAAATGCATAGCGATGTCTAATTGTGGTTGTGTAAGATGAACTGTAATGACAATGGTAAAACAAAGTAAATTTTTTTGGGAAAGTTATCAACATGTCATGTCTTCTTAATAATAAGCCAACACCAAGATATAGGTCTGTAACAAGGCCAATATAAAAT